CTTCCAAGTATAGAGTAATAGAGATGAAAAAGTGAAACTCTTACACTGACTTTTTTTCCGCTGGCTTTGTTTCAAATAATGCGTGGGTTATAGTTTTGTTCATAATGAAACAACTATTCACCTCAGTGCCGGTGGCTAGCGGTGGATATTTACCTCTCCGCTTCGCGGCTCGGTAAATATTAGCCTGCAGAACCGGCGTAATTTTTTGCGTCTTACTGGCGAACTGAGACAAGCGTCAGGCGAGCGTATAGCGCGAGTCGCGCGAGGGAAGGAGGGCGTGATCATGATTAGGTTACGACTTACTGGTTACAAATTTTTGCAATTTCGAAAAATAATGTATATCGGATGCGCTGGGAATAGGCTTACCCACACTGTACAGCAATAACGTGTCCATATCTTCGAATAAGGGAAGAAAAGCCATGAAACTGCTACATTAATAGCCAGTAGAACAGTAGGCTACGAGCCATCCCTCCTTTTCGGCGGAGTCCGTCGCGCGAGTCTTAAAAAGTTAGCAAGAAAAGAAACAAATGGTGGCTGACACGCTAGCTACTTTATCGTGACCCTTTCTCCCAGGGTTACGCGCGGTGCGCTATAACATTTCTTTTTCCACTGAGTCTTTTTTTACCCTCGCGACGGACTTTGCCGAAAAGGTGGCACTGCTCGCAGTGTAGTAGAATGGGTGTATTTTTTTTGCTATTGAAGCGTTTGTGAAGGCGAGCGCGAGGTGTGTTCTTGTGTCCGCGGGTGAAAAAACGTAAAAAAAAAAAAACAAACATGTTTGTTCTGCAGGCTGTCATTTTCTTTACCTACGAGCGCGTGAAATTTAGCGCATTAGCGGTGCGTTCTGCTGTAGAGCAGAGTTACTCCCGCACAAGGGGTGGTAGCTAAGCCCAAAACAACACCTGGCAAAATGACGTCACCAGTCGGCTGTCAGTCATTTGGCAGAGGACATTCGCCGCATTTGCCGAATTCGCACTCAGAGAAAGTAAGGTAACGGTATTCGGGGTAAGTGGTTGTTTATCGCAATGCTAGATCTTCGCTTTGAAATACCATCCCTTTTCGAAGTTGAGTATTAGATGCTAGAAATCTGCAGCGTTTTCAAGGCAAGAATGAAAGGAAACTTACGTTATCAGTGAATACAGAAAGCGAGTTATAAAGATGAAAGCAATGAATTTTTTAATAGTTAAAGAGCGACAGCTCTTATTGACAATTAAGTTCAAAGGCCTTTGAAAACGCTAAGACGAGCCTTTTTGCAGGGAGGATGTCTCTAGATACATTTTGATTTTTGAATTTTTCTGTTCGCCTTGACAATAGCCATCGATAAAGAAGCGAAGTATTCAGGGTGAATAAAGCTTTCTTGTTTCTTTTGAGAAAGAGTTGTGTAGGAGGAAGGCATTAACTGACTTTTTTAAATAATTATTCCCCACGACTTTTGGTCGGCGTAGCTTACGGTAAATTCAGGTGTACGACACTTCAGTTTGATGCCTATTTTCACTTTATTTATACGATAAAATCTGCTCTGAAAGAAATAATTTCCTAAGAACATCGGACTTCGAAAGTATGATCATGTTCCAAAATTCTTATTTTACAAAGCAAGCCAGAGACAAAAGGTTATGTAACTTATGCTCATGTCTAGCTTAATTTACTCTTAAACGTTTTCGAAAACTCCAATGGTTGGCGATTTTTGTTTTCATTCATGTGAACGAGCGTCTCGTAAACAAATACGGCATAGTGGTTAAGGTAGCCTTGGAAGTTTCCAGACGGAATGATCATAGTAACGCGAAGAGTGTAGGAGGAGTTGTTGATAGGAGGTTAAGTCCTCGGTTTGCCTATTCCGATAGACAGTCGCAGACAGCTGCAAATATCTGTCCTGGACGAGGTCGTGGATGTTGCGCGCCGTGACTAGATGGACCTGGAACACGAGTCTGATATAAAAAATGGCTATAAAGCTTGTCCCTTGTCAAGGGCTATATTTTAATTTAATGCTTAGATATTATGCCGGCAAATTTATCTTAGTATGGCTCTCGGTATGCCTGCAATCATAGACAGTCGCAGACAGATGTAAAGACCTGTCTTCAGGGTGAAGATATTGTCCACTGTGAGTAGTGGTTTTAAAACTTAGGATGAACCTGGTGTTGAGCACGATTGGGAGTGATGAAAAAAAATAAGTCTGCTTTGAGAGGAAATCAGCTAGATGTTCTCTCGTCCTTGTTTCAGAAGTTGTTTTTTGTTTTTGTTTTTTTTTTCCCTTTCAAAACAGGAAGTTTTCGAGATTTTTAAGCTGCACACTCAAGGGATGACTACATAGAAATCTGTGTTAGTTTAGCTTTTTTCTTCTTCCATTCCAAACACTTAAGACTCAGTGGAGTGACTCTTACTTCAGTAACACGTATTTGAACACTTTGAATCAACAAAACATTCGCGTGTAATTAAATAAGCTTGAATGTTTAATGTATTTGACACATGGTTTTGACGCCGATAATCTTTCGAGACGTGTTTACTCTTTGTGCTAATGTTACGTTTGAACAACAGAGAACTTAGGTTTCGATGACAGCTATTTGCCAAAAAACTTGTGGGAATATAGCAATGGCAGTTGTCGTGTTTTTATAATTGGCCGCTTCAAGCCGATTTTTTTTTTTATTCCCCAAGGTATCATTAAGAAAACCAAAAGATTTTTAAATAAATTACGGATGTTTGAATGTACGTTCAAAAGAAACTTCGCGCCATACCCAGCACGAACTGTATTTTTCACAAGTATTTGACACTGTCAGATAGGTGAGATAAATTATACTCGAAAATCTGAGCTTAATGCTTTTGAGTGGCACCCCTTAAATATGGCATTACGCCGAGAATGTGCGCAAAATTTTTCAATCTGCTTTACTTAATAATTCAAAATAGTTTAAAATTATATTGTTGAATAAATCCCGAGACGCAACCTCATTTCCCACCCCCATGTAGGGGGAATAGTCCCTGAGAACGAGGTTGTCCGAGACGAAGTCTGAGCGCGATAACCAACTTAGTTCGTGCAAAATTGCGAAAAGTATCCGATGAGTCTCTAGGCTTAGTTTTAGGGCAGTTAGTTAAGTCATTGCGATTGGGTCCGAAATTCGCAAAAGTTTTACAGCTGTCATAGAATTTTTGGAAAACGTTGCAAAGGGTTTCAATTCTTCTTCTGGTGACAGTTTCGATAGCTGTCAGCTATCATTCTCAAAATGAATGACATCGTCGTAAGTCGTTGCTTGTGCTGTCATTTTGAAAGGCACAGAGTTTGGCGTGCTTGAAAGTTACCACTGCACGCTTGAATCGAAAATAGAAACTGCAAACTGTTAAAAAAATTTTGGGCTATTTTTGAAGAAGCTGTAGTTCAGTGAGGAACTGTTTCTAGCAGTCACAAAGGGACTGTTTCTTGTCGCAGATTTCTTTTAAAACCAAAGTCCAGTTTGCGAGCGCCAGTGCGTAATTTCTGCTTTCAATATTTTATTACCTGAGTTCAAACATACACGATTCGTGTTTTAATAATATGCATAACGAATTTCTCGATTCTGACTAGCCAAGAATAAAGCAGTTTCAGGAAATACGATGCAGAAATACGGAAATTTAGTGCAGAGAAATTATAATTCAGTGTAATTTGCGATACACAGAGATAAACTACATAGTTTGTGTTTTTGTATATTACCAAGGTACACGACCCTTTAGGCACAAGAATTATTTTTAGTTTTTCTTCATTGTCACAACCTGGTAACAGTGAAATAAGGCTCTTCTGAAAAATCATCTGTGGCGTTTGAAGTAGTGCATTTCTTATTTCGTCGGGCATTAAAAACGTTCATTTTCTTACTCATTGCACTGAATTGATGTTTGATGAATGGAAGGGGCGTGGTCATACTAACGGCTGGCTTGCTTGACACTAAGCAAGAAAAAGGGGTATTACAGTGTAATTTACGATACAGACATACTGTCAGCTACATAGTTTGTGTTTTTGTATGTTGCCAAGGTACACGACCCTTTTGGCACAAGAATAATTTTTCATTTTTTCTTATATCGTTGCAATCTGGTAACAGTGAAGGCTCTTTCAGAATAGTAACTGTGGCGTTTGAAGTAGTGCATTTCTTGTCTCGTCGGGCATTAAAAACTCGTTCGTTTTTATACTTGGTGCTTGGCCGTACAAACGGCTGGCTTGCTTGACACCCGGCCGTGTTAATTGTAACACGACATTAGCATTTAATATGAATTTCGCACAAAATTTGTCCAGTCTGTAGAGTTAAAATATCAACGCGCAACAAGATTTTCATTGGTCAGCTCTGAGCAACTTGTTACTGACGCAGATGACGATCTAAACGAGGAAGCGTGTTCGAATACGGAATCAACCAACCAACCAATAAGTAAACTTCAGAAGCTCTCAGACTTTCTCACATCAGTGACGTTGTGGTTGGATGTGTAACTAAGCTAATCCTGAGAATTTGCCGTTATTTCAAAACAGTATCCCCAAGCTGATAATTAAAAAAAATTCTCACTTCCTGTTTGTCTCGCATAGTGTCACAGTTTTAGAGGAAAATATGTGTGTTGATCCTTTAGAGTACTGTCAATTGCCTCTTTTTTTTTTTGCCTGAAAAATGAATGTCAGTACCTTCAAATACGCTAAAATGTTGTTGGACTTACGCTTGGATGATTTTCCCCTTGTTTTTAGATTTCGTTGCCAGTATACGGTAAGAATATGGAAACTAATGGATGCTACAATTTGCGAAAGCGGCGAGTGTTGGTAACGGGTGGCGCAGGCTACCTTGGATCAACAATGGTACCCATCCTGCTCCAACGTGGTCATCACGTGGTTGTCTATGATAAGTTCATGTGGGGAGCTTTTCCCCTTTTGCCTCATGCAGCGAACCCAAATTTGGAGATTGTCAGAGGGGACATTCTGGACAGGAACCTCTTGGCGAGACACATGGAAGACTGTGACGTTATAATCCATCTCGCCGCCATTGTTGGATACCCTGCTTGTGAAAAATTTCACGATGAGGCCATCCAGGTAGGAGGACTGGAACGAGAAATTTTCCACCTGATTCAAATGTAATCTAGAGTTCCGTTGGCTTCTCTCATTTCGTTCAAAGATTGATTCAAAAATAAGAAAACTCGCGCTATTTCACCACTAATCAGATGCAAAACTAAAGGAAGACAAGATCAGACAAGGCTGAACAAGTCTAGGCTAGGGTAACTAGACTAGATTAGTTTTTCAATGGGACTGGATTGGACTAGGCTAGACTGGGCCAGGCCAGACTAGACGGGATTAGATTGGAGAAGTCTGAACGAGGTTAGGCTAGGTTAAATTAAACTGCTTAGACGACCAGATTAAACTTGACTTTTTGCGATAATACCCTGACAACGACTGTGGCCATGTTCTCTGTGGCCATGTTCTTGTAGGTGAACGTAGAGGGTACAAGGAACATTGTAGAAAATCTAGCAGAAGATCAGCATTTAATCTATGCCTCCACTGGGTCATGCTACGGAGCTGTCCAGAATGGCGTTTGTGACGAAGAAACACTGATTTCCCCCCTAACTCTGTACGGAAGAACAAAAGCTGAAGGAGAGAAATTGGTGTTGGACGCCGGAGGAGTTGCGCTTCGCTTGGCCACTGTGTTCGGTGTGTCCCCCCGCTTACGGCTCGACCTTCTCGTGAACGATCTTACTGACAAGGCTCTAAGGCTCCAGCACTTCGATCTGTATCAGGGGGGCTTTCGCCGCACTTTCCTTCACGTGAAAGATGCTGCCAGAGCATTTGTGTTTGCGGCGGAAAACTATAAGGAAATGGCAGGGCAGGCTTTCAACGTTGGAGACGAGAACATGAACTTGTCAAAGTCTGACGTGGCCTGCATCATCCAAGAGTGTGTACCAGGCTGCCTCATCACGCAATCTAACAGTGGAGAGGACAAGGATAAAAGAGATTATGAAGTGTCTTACAAGAAGGTCCGATCTCTAGGTTACCCCGCTACGATATCAGTGGAAGAAGGTGTCAAGGAACTCGTGAAATTCTTACCATGTCTTAGTGAAGAAGAAATCGAAAAAGCGAGGAATATATAATGATAAAATCAAATGCTGAAAATAACCCCATCAAACTCCCTAGATGTGATTTGTAACTCTCATGTCAGTAATTAGTCTATTCCTTGTAAGTTAGTCTTAGGAACTGGGTATATTATCTCTGGGTGCTTACTGGTAGCATGTAACAAACGCGATTAGAGTTTTCTCTTAACAGGAATTAAGGATTTTTTCAAACAAGGTCTTGATTTTTTAAACGTATTTATTTCACTCTAAGAAAAAATATTTACAAAACGAGATAGGTTACTGAATTTACGGTGAGCTTTTCACGATGAGGAGGTTGCTTTGAGCAGTTTAATTGCCCTGTAACTTAATTTGTTTATAAGCCTAGTGACTTTGTTTTAGCACTCTCTTGACTGTTGGTACTGAGTACAAGCACGCTTGCATGATATTCTACAGGAGAACAGTCTGCGCGGGTCATTTCATAGTGAATATATATATATCTTATTAACCAAGCGCGAGGGCCGTACTGGGAGAATATCGGCCCGAGGTCTTGACAGTACGGACCGAGCGCAGCGAGGTCCGTACAAAAAAGACCGAGGGCCGATATTCTTCCAGTACGGTCCCGAGCAAGCTTGGTTAATAAGAGATTTATTATACGACTGAAGTTCAAAGGGACACAAGTGCGGTATCATTCGGGACCATTCGGGACAGTGCCCGGTCCAATACTTAGAGAATATTGGACCGGCAATAGAGCATTTTGATTGGTTGATTTTAGTTATTGGCCCTCTGACTGCCCGAGTCGTGTAATAAAGCCTATTAGCGAAAATAAGTATGCGGTACATGTATCAAGCAGTATTCGGCTTAGTAGTGTCGAATCAAAATCTTGCTTCAACCCAATCAGTGACGGCCAACTGACCATCACTCGTACTCCAAGGAGTCTTGGGTCTCAGAAAGACTTGTGTTCTGTTCTACAATGATGTTAGATGTTAGATAATTTTGTAATTTAGTTACTTAGACTTCAATTTGCTCTATGGGTAAAAGAAAAAAGCGCGGTTTGAAAACGCTAATTAATCACGAACTCGATAATTCAACGCGGATCGCGCCTTAACGGCCTTTGGCTCTGTTTTTGTTGTCAACTGTTGGTCTACCTCTTATCTAGACGAAACCGTTAGATTTCAATTTAAGATTTTCGTTTTTAATTTCGCGCTCTCTCTCTTTTCTCTAACATTAAAATTTTCATAGGCTCAGGAAAAAGGAACCACTGACAATGCGTGGGAAAGCGAAACAGCTAGACAAGTAATGTTTCCCAGTGTTTTCCATGTTCTCCAATATTTAATTTGCAAATAATATCATAGTGATTTCTTTTCAGTTAAGACGCCTAGGTTACATAGTTGGTATTCTCACTGAGCAATTGAAAATAAACATAACTTGATGCATCGCAGAACAAGATGGTGATGGTGGTTCAGCGCGGTGAATTTTTTTTTTTTTCAATATTTGAGTTCCTTTTTGGTCGAGACCAACAACAGCTTTTGAAGTAAACTATGAATGAAGTTGACATTTACAAATTAAACCAGTCATACCAGTCAGTCTAGTAGTCCATTCAACGCGTCTCCAGCAAACTTTTAAATATTTTACTTTGTGTTGGTTGACTTAACGTTGGTTTGTTATGAAAGCAATTTGATAGATATGTTCAGAGTATCTTTCATCTTGGCTAGTAGCGGCACAGTTTATTAAAAACTACCAAGTTATCTTTAACTCAAAGTCGAAAGCAATTAAAAGATGAAATAATAACTTGAAATGTGTATCTCGGTTGTAACACGGATTTTCTCAAACGTCGTTTACTTGTTTATGAGGATCGCACGCTTGTCCATAATCCCAGTGGAAATGGACAAACTTTATTCAGTCTCCATATTTTCCCGAGCTTTTTTTAGGATTCACCATTAATATTCAAACTTCAGCTATCATTAATACAAAGTTATTTTTCCCTAGTTACAGTTTCAAGTGCTATTTCAGTTGTCTGCTCGCGATCATATCATTTCTTGCTAAAAAAAATACCAAATAAACCCCTGATCGTCTGGCGATGTACATATTCCTGGTTGTTGAGCTGACATCACGGGCAATGGAGTATATTTTCTGAATTTAGTACCGGAAAAACAAGAACTGGAAAGCCTCGTGGTTTGAAGAAGCATGGCCGGAAACTTATCACAGCAACGACTAGAAGCTAGAATGTTATGCTCACAGCAACGAGTAGAAGCTAGAATGTTATGCAATCTTGACGAGGAATCATGTTTGTAAAAGATAAATCGAGAAACATTACACTTCTATAAAAAGGGAAGCTACTGCCGGATAATTAAAACTCGTCAAATTCACTTGAGATATTTTGCTACACGAGAGATATTTGGCTAGTACACTCTTAAAATAAATACTGCACAGACTTCAATATCGCATGACCGGGAGCTTGCGTGACAAACCAAAGGCCAGAAGTAAATTTTATTCACGAGAAGTGGTCTTTACGCTCACTGCAAAATAGTGCAACTGGCCTAATATCAAAATAATTCTTTGCGGGTAAGAATAAAAAAAATAATATAGGTGGGTTTTCAATGCAAGAAGTTATAATCGTTTCATTCCATGCTACTCTATTTCGGAAAATTGAGACGTGACAGACTGCACGATGCTTCCATTCAAACCGGTTTTTCGTTACACGTGATTGGGTCGTGCTATATCACAACAACGTAAACGGTATGTAAGCTCGTAAAGCCATTGATCGATCGTAGTTGGAAAGATCTTTCACGGTGTATGGTTCGGCTCGCCCAGATACTGAAATATTCACCTGTATTGCAAAATGCTTTGTGGAGTGAATCGACTGAGGTTTGTACATAATATTTTAGTGTTACGGTTTCAAAATGCGAGAAAAAAAAAAAATTTTTTGACAAGCGAACTTTAATTTCATGAAGACCGATTGGGTGCTGTGTAAGCACTCTTGGGTGATGAGTAAGCACGTTTGAGTTGGAAGTTTGAAACCAACAGCTTTTTCTTTGCTTTGAGCTGCTGAATATTTTCTGGGATTACAACTCTGCAAAACAAACTTAAAGCTAATTTCAGGTGGTTTTGTTTTACCGGTCTATCAGGCAGCCCGCCGGAATAAAATTTTTACCTTGTACTCGAGAACTAATTAGCTTAAACTTATTACTGTTACAAAATACAAGTTTTGTAGTACAGTGTGCAGTATAGCTGTGATCATGTTTACTCCGTGAAGATCTTCTTCCTTTCAGAAGTGATAAAAACACCGCTTACAAATCAACAAATACTTCGCACAGATAAAAGACCTTACGAGCGACCAGGCGTTTTATGACGAGGACAGACGAAAAAAATTACTTGTTATTAAATTGTTTTTTCTGCCTGTGAAAAAAAGAAAAACAAAAAAAAAAAACGATCATACAGTCCAGATGATGAGGATTTGTTTTTTCGCAAGCCCGATGAGTTTATGAATAGAAGTTTGAGTTGGTTAGGTTGATGTTTGATCAAGTCAAATCATCTTGAAATTTAACAAGTGATTGACGAAAGTGTTTTATTTTCAGTTTGAAGTTTATTAAAACCAGTGAAAAATTCATGCGTGGAGGCGAGAATTGTGTTTCGTACGTCATAGTTTATGGAAATAAGTTTATTATTAAGATTATTTTGAACCATTGTGGAACTTTCAAAGTTATTAACCATATTTCAGCTTATAGCAACCTCTGTCTACTTGTTGAATAATGAAAAATATTCTCAAAATCGATGTCTGTTTTATAATCCTTGAGAGAAAGAAAAATACAAAGAGTTGAAATCGTTGTTATTTCGTTTTGTTTATAGATTGAATAGCAAAGGTGAAGTTTGAAATTTTCTAGAAAACAATTGTGGTATAACATATTGCAATTACCTGTGGATTTCTACCAACACCTTCTTTGGTGTCTGCAATAAACAGTCCTTCATTAAACTCTGAAGAATCAAACTGTTTTGGTTTGTAATTTTAAAAGTTGAGTAAATTTTGTTAGACCAGATGTTCACACTATTGTGAAATCTGCCCTTTGCCCACGCAGCCTGGTGAGAGGAATTCTGGCTTTGGTACCTGTTAGTAGAAAATGAATTAAACGAGCACCGGGACTCTATTGCTTTGAATCATTGTGAATATGTTATTTCCCAGTGAATATGAGATTTCCCAGTGAGTAGTTTGATTTACTGCTAGTCATAACTTTATTCAAAGGATGGACAATTTTTAATCTCAGTAGTGAATACAGCCAGTGAACAGCATTACTTTTTTTTATTTGCTTACAAACAGATTGGATTTACTTCATAGTGATGTGTGCAGCAAACCTGATTATGTAACAACTGAAAAATATTAGGCTTCAGCGACAGACTAAGGAATTGTAAGGGCAAAGGATAATATTTTTTTAACTGTGGATCAATTTACATGTAAAGCACTTGATCTGAAGTCCATATTTTTTATCTGAAATTCAAGGCAGGGTGCTATCATTGGCTACCAAGGATTGTGGGAAATTCTCTGGCCTATTTTTTGGCCTGTATGTGCGCTTTTTATTATCAAAATTCTCTCACAACCCACTTCCCATGGGAATGAACCCTATCAAAATCTTCAAACAACAGAGATTTATAACCTCTTAGGTAGAAGAGGACCATGCTTCTGAAATTAGCTCATTTTGTTTCTTCATCCAGACAAAAATAAAAAAAATGTGAGTAAGTATACAGTTCCATGAACATTAAAACAGGCTTAAAATGAACTTGTCAACTTGTTGCAAAAACTGAACTTTGAAACAGTTTATTATCTCATTTCAGCTTGAAGAGATGTGCCCGGTACATTTTTATCAGGCATCTGTCAAGTGCTCAGACCAAGGCTGCCCTGAAACCATTTTACTTTGCAGTTCATCCTGATCTTTTTGGCCAGTATCCAATGCAGAGGGTAAGCAAAATTATTCAGTGACACTTAAGTCTTGAAGAACCTGTAATAAAACATCTCAAAATATTTGAAATGGTTGATGACCAAAGATTTCACTCAAAGGGGTCTCATATTAAGTACGTATAAATGTTGTCATGGCAAGGATCACAGTGTGTGATTATTTTGTCTCATAATGACGCCCTTGGAGACCTGTGATTTCATGTGATGGCATAGTGATCTGTGGACTCAAGTTTAAGATCACAGCCTGACAATATTATAAATGCATGGACGAAAAGCTGTGATCTTATGCATCTGTGGCTTAATTCTAAGATTGTCAAATTTAAGGCTTTAACCCTTTTTCTACCAAGATCTGATTGTTACTTCTCCCCTCAAGCTATTTGACATATCTTTATAAATTAGTTGCAAGAATTTGGTGTAAGATTAAGGCAACAACTTCTACCTGAGTATTAAGTATTCTCATGTTTGCTGGAATATGTTTGTATATTATTGTTGTAAGGTTGTTGTGTAGGAAAGGCTGGGATTGTACACATCTGTGACTATTATAAGAACTTCAAATTAAGCTTAAACCTTTTTCTACCAAGATCTGATTGTAACATCTCTCCCCCCCACATCAAGTTTCTAGACATTTCCTTGTAAGTTAGTAGGGAGAATTAGGAGTTAGATCAAGATAACTTGATTAAAGTACCATTTAGTTGTTGTCAAGAGAGATTTTCATACAAATTTTACTTTTTTGGTTTATTTGCAGTCAATAAATGAAGATTCATTGAAGAGGTTGAACTCATACTTGGAAGATCTGCAGAAGAAAAATCCTGTTAATCCTACACACTTGTTGTTTTATCTGAAAAATGATACAGCAACACCACCACTTGAAGAGGGTAAGGCATACTAAAACTTAAGGGGTTGTGATGATAATATAAAACAGCCTTATGTGTTACCGTATTAAAGTGTTTTTTCTATGATGAAATGTTATAATTTTTTATTTAAATTTTAGTCATAGGGCAGCTTATTTATAATAAGTAGGTCATCTATTGTTATATTTTGTGTTCTTTCTTTATATGCATATTACCTTTTAAATCGGGAAAGTGTTGAGAATTTGCCATTTTACTCAATGTACTTTCTTATTCCATGTAAGGGCAGTTAAGAGTCCTTGTAGCTCAAGGGTATCCCAGAGTCAACTGGTGTTAAGATTGCCTATGAGAGGGTGTCATCCAAGTTGTGGTACAAGTATCATCATAATTATACTAGCATGTTGGAATTGATAATTAACAATAAATTAATAATTGTTGAACATGCGGTTGTTAGGGCTGGATCTCTTCAAGACAGTAAGAGTTTCGCTTTTCTCACGTGATGTCCAGTTCACCATCAGCCATATTTTGAAGACCTGTGGTATGTTGGAGGATTTGGTCACCCTTCATCAAAACAGTGAAAAACCCAAGGTGTCAGTAGCACTGCCTTATGATGCACCACTTCACTGGCTTAATGTTTATAAACAGTTTAGTGACAGACAGAGCCCTGTGGACCTTGCTCAATTACAGCGAAACTCACGACTCTCTCTAAGGGACTTCCTGGACAAGAACATCAAAAATGCCAAGGGAAAACAAGAAAGTAGCCAATCTGTCTTAGAGGAAAGTAAACTATTGTCTGATAAGATTTGTGAAGAACTCAGATTAAACAAGCTGCAGTCAATCAGTGGCTGGAGTTATGCATCTTATCATGGCTCCCTTAAAAACTTCTGGAACCTTTGCTTATCCAAGCAGTCTGACCTTCAGAATCTCAAGGGACGTACAATAATTTTTACAGACTGGACAGGGGTTGATCCTCTCGGTCGTGTCATGTTGAATGCTCAAGATGTCCCAGAATTTTGGCTTTCAGTAAGTAAGACAACCTTTACGGCCTTGTGGCACACAACCACCTGAGCTTATTCTACTCTTTTGGCCTGAAGACATGTTAGGAGAATTTGAAATCTTGCTAGATTGCATGCTTGTCTAAAAGATTGATGAAACCCTTGGTGGTTATGTATAAACTATATTCTGCTCATCTAAAGAGGTGTTGTATCTGGACCCTGCGGTTGCAGGTGCAAAACTATTGAAAAAAATTGAGTGAAAGTGAGTAGAAGTTACAAAGTTTGCAACCTAACCACAGATATTTCGTTGTTTTGGAGGGATCAAAGTAGGTAATCCTGCTAGCTGATAAGAAAATCAGAACACAGAATTCACTTCACTTTGGCTGCTTACAGAAACTAGAGCTCTCAATTAAGTCTTGTTGATTGAATGTGAGACTTGGGAAAACAAGTTCAATCTTTTGCTCTCATGCTGAGAAAATATTATTTCTTTTTCTGTCAGAACTTAACATCCTTGGAAGACTCTGATGTTCTTGTCGATCAGGTTCCTATGTGGGAGAGAAAACTCTCTTCATTACTTGGTGACATGAAGATCAAATATGATGAAGATTCACCCTCAGTCTCAGTTGTGGAATATTTAAACTACTTGTACAGAGTAGTTTCTTCACTGAAAAGAGGATTACTTGGACCTGATGCTTCAACAACCATTCAGCCGGGAGAATTCAAAGAGTGTACTGCAAGAATTCTAAGGTTTGTTAGTTTTTATGTTACCAAGTCAAAATAGAAAAATTGAAACTTTTTCACTCACAAATTGTCAGTGTCGAAAAAGATTAAAAGATTATAAATTTATTCTCTTATCTTGAGCCTGACAAAAGTACAGCATTGCTCAAAAGCATATTGACAGTCCTTCAAAACTTGATCCTCCAAGTTGAGAATTGAGACATTTGAGTTGAGTTTCAAGACACTCAAAACTTGTTTTGAATGTCACAAAATGAAGAAACAAACAAATATTAGTTGGATAAGACTGAAGCAATGATAGAAAAGGCTGCAATGATTTTAAGTCTTCAGAAGGAAAAATGATGTGTATTTACCTGGAAAAATAATTAATAAAAGGACAATTATAGGGAAATGATTAAAAATTATTATTTCAGTCCAGCAGATGCACTCAGCCTGTCACTTAGTGGTGAGTTTAGAATACCACCTTCAATTCCAACAGAGTTGATAGTGGATTTTCTGGGAAAGCACAAACAGAAGGCTATGGACCTACATGACGAGAACAAAAGGTGTGGAGACTTATTCTGATACTATCAAACATTTGTTTTATACTGCAAAGAACAGGATAAAGTCCTGCAAGGTGTGCTAGCTACTATGCCGGGCTCGAAACCTGGTTATGAATTTTTATTTTAAAATACAAGGAAATAAATTTGCTGATGGTTATCATATTTTCATTTTGTTTCCAGGAACATATTAACAGAAGAGCAGGCAGTTCAGTCATGTAGAGAGAAATTTCAGTTCTCCTCTCTTTCTAAAGACAGCTCCGTTTCACCATTGCAGATGAGTGACTGCTGTGAGAGACTTCTTGGGGAAGACTACCCTGATATTAAAAATACAAACCTCATTGTTTCCAAATATTACCATGTCAATGAAGATGGTCAAATCAGTATTCCATGGAACTGGAAGTGAATCTCTTAATTGGATGAGAAACACATTTGTCCTCACTTTAGCCCTTTGCTCTGATGAAGGACTAACACTTGAAATGTTAGTTTTAAAACTTTTTATGGTGGCCAATTAATTAATATAAATTATAAATTAATCCAAAATTACCCTTAGGCTAATCCCCTCAGGAGTGTCCAAAATGGAATTGTTCTGTACAATGTAAATATATTTTTATCAATTTAAGAAAGGTGCAGGTAACAAGAGAAGTAAACTTTTACCCTTGATCTCCCAAGGTCTCTTTAGAAATTCTCCTTACCATCTATTGCACAATTTTTATGATGTTCATTTGGAGAATTTGGTATTCAATCAACTAATAATCCCTTAATTGACATTTTTCCAATGAAGATATTCCTCCTTTGTCACTCACGAGAGTTAAAGTGTTAATTCAAGGTAAAGGCTGTTTATGAGTCAAGTGGTCCATCAGGCAAACACTTAGCTCCAGTTTCTGTGGAATGAAGTGACTAGGAGTATTTCTACTCCCCCTTGGATGGGATGCCAGTTTGTCCATCGCAGGGTTACCCCCCAGCATTAAATTCGCCGGTACCCATTTAAACACCTAGGTGAAGAAAGGCACTGTGAGGGTAGTGTCTTGCCTAAGAACACAAAACAATGTCCCCAGCTAGGGCTCAAACCTGGACCACTCAATCCTGAGTTGAGCCCACCAACCATGAGGCCACCATGCTTCCTACATTAATTTAAACAAGTGGATAATATTCCCTGGGCTGAAATGATAATAAATGCGTGGGCTGATTGATAGATGAATCTTGGGAGTTAAAGGGTAAAAGCAGGAAACTTGCTAAATCTATTTACTTTTGTCAAAAATAAAACTAATATATTGAATAAAGGCTGATAAGTCATGTCATTTTTAAGGGCAAAGAAACACAATAAAAAAACTTCTACACAGTAAGGGACTGATCTGGGTTTGATAGTAAATAATGAGTCAGTGTAAATAATCATCGGGAAATGTTACTTTTTAATAGAAATGCAGTAAATGTTGTTGAGAAAATGTATTACATTGGAATGATAATAACTTCCATGTGAGTAACATGAATTTTTAATCACAAAAAGGGTGGAGTTTAAAATCTTGAAAGTTTACGGTTAAGACATACTTGTCTGGTAAATAGGTACAGTCATTTATTGCACTCTCCTTGTCAGACATTATTTATTATAATACTAAAATACTGCAAATACCGAACTGATGAGTATTCTAGAAGTAATATGCTATTTAAGTTGTTAGACTTCTTAAGTTATACATTAAATTTTTTATAATTATTATTAAATGTGACTGAGTAGTTTTTATAACTCATGTGGTTACAATTTATTTTGTTCTTTTTGTAAGCTTGGATGCAGTGATATGGAAATAATAAACTTCTTTTTGAAAAATGCCAAGTTGGAATTTATTAGCATTTAAGTTCCCTAACAATTCCAAAACATAATAAAGTATTATCGACACCCGCCAATCACAGTTGTGGAATACCAGCCAATCACAGTGGAGCATCCTGCTTTATAAGAAGACCTGAAACCAGTGGACCTTATTGCCTGATGAAGATTAGCAGTATGCAGTTGAAACATTGCAATCCACATTATAAGTGATTATAACATGAGACAAATGCAAAAACTGATTTCAGCTGATTTACACATCTCTTCTGTCCATTTTTTTTTTGAATAATTGTCATACTTTCATAGTATGGAAGATGAACAATGAAAACACACGTTTGCATGGTTTAATATCTCTATTTGACTTTCCTCTAAGTGTACCCAATGATTATTTAATTGCCTCCAAGTAAAGGGATCACTGTGGGCTTTAAGGTTAAGTTCTGATTCTTGGGCCTTTCCTGTTGAGTTTTTTATTTTTATGGGTGCCGTAATATCACATTGTTAGTCCGAGTTTTCATTTGAAATGTAGGATGAAAGTTTTTTTTTCTTTTCAGTTTCCTGGGGTAAACAGTTGTTGTTCAAACACGGAAAAATCTTATTGTATCAATAACAATAAATTATCATTATTTATTGTTAGGGTTAAAAAAGGTATTGGTACTTTTCTAATGGTTATGCAGCAATCACTTCGAATACTCGACAACACCCTCCCCCTCCTGGGTAGGTGAGGAATGTTGAGTGTTTCCAGCAGAATCCTAGTGTTATCAAAGTGAAGGTGTGGTAAATAGTTCACTCTTGCAAGAAAATGGCTCGAAAGAAAAGGTCCACAGGGTCATGGTTTTAAAGCTTGGTCAATATATAGAAAGTCACAGCGGCAAGAACAAGTCAATCTTCACTAGTTCAACGTTACTCACCCCAAGAGGCACTTCCTGATTACCCATAAAACCCAAAAGTACCTTTCCCTTGGTTGAATAACATGTTATTTTATTCACGTTACCTTTTATGTAAGTGCTTTAAACATGAAATGAGGGTTCAAGAAAGGGCTCCTAATTTTTTTGTTACATTTTTTCTTTTTCTCTCTCTGATATATTTATATTCTTTATATTGCAATTCACTGCCTTGGAGGAAATCCAGAGGCATGTTCCTTAGGGAAATTTCAAATGTCTTAACTCTTATTAATTAAAGGTTTACTATGGAGCCTTATTCTTATGTAACAGAAAGCAGAGAACTAAACTATGCAGAAAAATCTTTATTAAGAATACAAAAACATAATTTAAAATTTGTGTATGCACTATATTTATCATACTTTATTGCTTCTTAATTATTGAAGATAAAATATGACCTTCAGCAAGTAATAAGTTCAGCTCAAAACACCCTTTCACTGTTTGCTTTTCAATTTCCCATCAATCCACTGCAAACAATTTTAAGGTAAAAAACATTCCCACTGACTGAAAGTACTGATTTACTGCTCTGTAATGCAAAAGTGTTACCAAGCAGTAATAAACAAGTTGATTATTTTGTCAAATAAATTGATCTCAGAACATTCCTGAATATCCAAGGTGTACTCAAGTCTCCTTTGCAACTTTTCTTTGGACTGCCATGCAGTGCCACTCAAAGAGAATGGTTGCAAAGGAGAAAAAGTTAAGATCTTTCATTTACAATGAAAACTAAGGGGGGGGGGGAAGAGAGGTAAACACCATAACACAATGACCATTAAGGCCCTTGTGTTATTTCCTTCCTGTTTTTGTGAGTAATACAGCATTGTGAAACCATCCTTTGGACAAGACTGAAACCCTCACTATGCTGGGGTCCTACTGATCTGTGTTTTACAACAGCTCTGGTGCATAATAATGACATTTCAACTGTTATAACAAACTTATTTAAGTGACAGTTATTTCTAAAATTCTGCAGAATTTGCCTTAAATACTATAATTATTTAATGTAATGTTTGCAAAAAGACAATTACATTCATGCATCAACTACTCATTTGAACTGATAGCTGATCAAGTTCTACAATTTCCATGTAGAAACTATAATAATATTATGATAAACTTGTTCATTCCGCATGAATAACATTTCTATTTTTATGTCAAAGCTGCTACAGGCATTCCCAGGTCAAAAGAAGCACACTAGATGAATACAAAGCCAAAATGCTCAGACAGTAGCCTTGGAACACATATGTACATCTTGATTGTGTACGCGGCTCAAGTCAGGGCACAGGGCTTCATTATCCTTTCCAGTCCATGCACGGCCATCTCTGAGTGCTTCATTTAGACTGTCAATCCATGTCGCACGGTCAGACTTTGTATCAGCAGCCAACAGGTACCTTATGCAGTAGGTAACATACATAGAATTGATCAGCTCGTTCCTTTTAAATTCTGATGTTAAAAACGTTGTCATTATTACAGCTTCACAAATATTGAAGATATACAAGAGTCTTATGGTAGTATAATGTACATTTTTAAGAGGATTCAAGGTTTAAGGAATCCACTCCCTTAAAACAAGTGGCTTTTAAAATTAAAGGAGAAATGAACACTTATGCATGAAGAGAGTAAAGTTAAAGCCACTAAAATGATGTCCCACAGCAGGCAGGAGCGATCAATCATTGCTGGATACCGCACCCTTTTATCTAGAACCCTGAATACACATAAATTTGAATTCCATAATTCTTAGTTAGACATCTTTTTATTGGTCTGTTCATGTTGTGAATGTTTTGCATACAAGCCAATTGAAGTTGATCTTGCTACCAATTTTATTGACTGCAATTACATCATGACCATAACTTACTTGACTTCAGTACCACAGGACCTCCTGAGTTTCAGTTCGATGGTGTTTGGACGGGCACACAGGTCTCTCGCCACTCTTGTGACTTCTTCATTGATACACTCTGCTAAATTGATGGAGCCCATTGGGGACTTTGACAGAAAGAAACACATGACCATTAGATAATGTGGATTAAGCCAAAGAGTACAAGCCTTGTAAGACAAATCAGGAAAATCAGTATGTCAGAGAATCACAATTTTCCTGACTTGTAAGGATACTTACATATATATAATTAAAAATCAAACTTTTCTAGGACTTTTACAAAGGTTCTTTAAAACATAATTCAGAGTTCAGTCCCAAACACAATATTTCTTGCTTAGATTGTTGTTGCCAGAGAAATAATTTTTAGTCCTTTCCCATGACTTTTTATGACCCAAACTCTGTGACCTCTCTAGTCTAAAAATGATGTTATTTATCATTTTAAAATTTCATGATAATTGGGGATTTACTTAAAACATACTTTGGTTTCCTCATCTCCTGGATATCTCCAATAGGACATCACAGCTCCCTGTAGCACACACCATCTTCTTTGCCATGCTCCATAGCCCCCTATGTCCTCCAAGATGGTCTGATAAAAAGAAGAGACAATGTGATGGTTAGAACCCGTAATCATAAGATGTGATTTTCCAAAACTTTCCATGATCCTAAAAGGTAATTAAAGTTTAACTTGAGCCTATTGACCCACCCCAGCCAGAGATTATCTTGGTATCCCTGTGGCATGAAGCAACTAGGAGTAGTTCTTACCCCCCCTGGATGGATGCTAGTCCATCACAAGGTTACCCCCACGACTTCATCAGGCTTCCTTGACAATTTGCCAGTACATAGGCATTATTAACCAAGCATAAGGTCAAGATAGCAGGATATTGGCCAAGTTCTTTTTTTGCATTTTTATGGACCGAGATGAAGTCAAAAAAGAACAAGACTAATATCCAGCCATCTTGACCAAACAAGCTTGGTTAATAAAAGATTTATCATACTGCAAAAAGATTTGGCTTTTTAAGAATTAACAAGTGACTTGTTTACTTCGAGAGCAGGAAAAGCCAACTGTGTTTGTAGCACAACAAACTCCAGAGAGTTGTTTTCATTTTCTTTGTTTTGATTATCTTCTGCTGCTTTTTGTCTTACCATTGCTGAAATTGTCTAATTTTTTCATGTGCAGAATCAATGCAGGCAATTCCAAGCGGGTAAGATGGGCCCATCTTGCCTACTTGGTAGCCAATCAGAATACAGGATTCACTTCATCTTGCCCATGGGCACTGTGAATGATGTAATAACAATTTATACTCCTGGGTGAAGAGAGGCACTGAGGGTACAAAGTGTCTTGTTCAAGACCACAACACACTGACCCATCCAGCTCTAGAACCCAGGCCTCTCAACCTGGAGTCTAGTGCACTGACTATTTGGTCACTGCATCTCCCACATCCTTGAACCTGAGTGACATGAGAAAATGTCCATCGTTCATGCTCCCTTTATAAAATTTTCACAAAGAGAAACACCTTTCTTCCTGACGTCATTAAATTTTCCGACAGTGAGGAGTTTCTCATCCCCATTCCCCGCAATCCTGATATCTTACATATAAATTAAATATCAAAAAGCACTGATTTTTAACAGTCTTCACCATAAGTGCACATTTACCCCTACCAGAAATCCATTGACACGGTTGCTGTATTGAGGAGAGCAGTCAACCTTCATTTCCAAGAAGTTTGTCAAAGGACAAGTGTCAGGCACCTGATGATAAATCAATGACAAGTGCTCAAGAATGCAAACTACATGTAGATCAAGTGGCATTTTAAAGGCCCCCCATACATAATCAAAAGGTGGGTTTAATCAAGTGCATTTTTAAAATTGAGAGCTGGCAATATCCATCAAAAAACTATACAATAATAAGTGATTTTTGCATTGCTACAGTTCCTTTCTGCCTCTTACGAGCCAAGAGTGAGTCTCACAAGGCAAAAGGGTTAGCCAAATGGACTCAGAGCTGATTGCTACAAAGGTTCTCGTAGCACCCATCAAGGTTGACATTCTTTCTTTCTAACTCCTATCATCTTGACAAAGAAAAATATCAACTCACCTTATCAAGAGAAAACTGTTTTGATTTGATGATTGGCAGGTTAACATGTGTCACTCCAACAGGCACAAAGCTACTAGTTCTGAACACTGTTTGTGGTGATGCCAGAACTTGAGTTGCTGAAAAATGTATATGAGGATTTCTATCAATCAATACACTCTCTTGCCTCTGTGCCCTTAGTGTTTAAAGGCATTGAGCTTTTAATTAATAATTCTGTCTGATAGAATGAAATTTCCAGATTTGAGACATTAGCCAGAAAGTACTTACCTGGTGAAGGAGTGTCTGATGTGCGCCGCTGAATGGAAAAAAACAAACAGAAAAAGGAATCCCAGTGAGTAAGAAGCATGTAAATGACAAAGACTGAATGTTATATACCTAATGATTATTTCCAATTTTAATTATTATTCAGGCTGGTTTTTAAGGGTTGTAACCTGTGACACTTGCTATGGCTGAGTTCACTTGATCTTACGGGTGTCTGAATAGTTTATGTTGGTTGTTCTCATGTTACACTATCCCACTAATTACACTGCTATGGGGGATATTTCTAGTGTACCAGGTGCTTCAAACTTACTGATAGCCCTGCATTACCAATAAAATGTTCAACTGTTCAAGAGTTCCTTTAAATCACGCGAGGTCTTAGAAGACTTCACCCTCGCTGTAGCTGGTCTACCTTTGCACTGATTATAATTTTTAGGTCTTTATATTATTTTAACTGGAGGAGATGCTTTAGCTGGCTGTATAGTACTCAATACATAAAGTAGAGCATAAATAGAAAGTAAGACCACCGTCTGATGATTGTGAAAGCATGAAACTACGAGTCACGGAAACTTTGTTTTGTTGTTGATTTTACTATTTCTATATTATTTTAATAGTTTTTCCTATTTAGTAATGCTAAATTTTTTCTTTTCCCATATATTTTAATCAGTCCTCTATCGTTAACATGCATTAATATTAATAATTCTTTTAAAAAGTTGTAAATAATTAGATATATGATTTAAAATTGTAAATAATTGCTATCATTATTATTAAATGAAGCAGGCCAATTTTTATCTTAATTTTTGTAAATATTTTTAGTGATTATAGTGAATAAAGGTTTTATTTTTATAAAATGTTCAACAGCTGCGCCAAAGAGATCTCTCATTCTGATTTTTTGCATACAATAAAAAAAAAACTTTGATGATCAACCAAATGGTATACACAAAGATTATGCTTGTTCTTACACCAGCAAGCATTCCTTTCACAACTTTAGGTGACTGGAAGATCTTGTGCTTGGTTGGAGTGGATACAGGCCCAGGCATCAACGTCTTCTTTACATTCTGGAAATAAAAATCATTTCATTCAAAATTATTCTAAGTACTACAATTAAACTTTTGAAACTTATGAGCAAAAATCTAGATGTATGTATATGAGGATTATGCATTTACAAGGGCTATCTTCCCTATTTTTCTTTGCTATATGAAAGAAGTGGGAGTTGAACCTGATAGTCGAGTATGCAGATCTCATTTTGTGAGTTTTAGGATTGTTATTTTGTAGACAGATGCATAGCATTAGAAAGTTATAACTTACCATGCAGAAAAGCTTCACAGCAACAGTAAAATCTGGTCTCAAGTCTTTCCTGTGACAGTAAAAAAATATTATACCCTTAAGATCTCAGCAATGGCCTTGAAAATCACCCACTTCACTAATGGTATGAATCTTACCAGGTTAAAAGGTGTCTGGTCAATCTTGGCATCTGGGCTAAATGTTACACAATTTCATACAAGTTGCCTTAAAACCACAGAGACCATAACTTGTGGTTCCTCATGGCACTGGTTTAGAGAACAGCCTTGCAGTGGCCATAATGCCATGTTTGTTTTGTGTCTAATACAGAACTAACTGCTTCCCTATAACATCGAATGTCACTTACAACGTAAACTTTTCAGGGAACACCAAGAAGTTTCCCTCAGTGGCATCGTTTGTTGATAAAACTCTGGAACAGTAAAACTCATGTGTACCATGCTGGATGATGCAAACGAAGTAAAACACACCAAGATCTGTTGAACAATGATCAAGCTAAATTAGGACAAGTTAATTTCACACGATAATTGTCAATAGCAAATTGCAGAGCTGATGTTAAAGCTTTCTTAATTGGGGAAACTCACTGTCAAGTCCACTGTCAACATACAGGAAAGCTAGTAAATTGCACTATAACTCACGAATTTTTAAGAATTCAATTAAGACTTTTCTTTTTAGTCAATCCTTTCAATAGCGGTTAAGTTATGAATTCTATATAGCCAATTTAACTGTAACATGTAATTATTTTTTAATTAGTTGAGATTTTAATATTTAGAGATATTAATTGTAAAGCACTATTGATCTGTCATTGTAAAAAGCGCTATATAAGAAATAAATTATTATAATTATTATTATTATTCCCTTGATTTTTTTCCTGAACATATCGTATGTGTATGTACATTTTACAAGATAGTTAAGGTCAATCCACCTCCCATAATTCTCCGTATTAATTGTGCTATTAATACAAAATTAATGTACAACTTTAATGTTCTCCCCACTCCTATTACCAAAAGGAGATTGGCATTTGGAAGATCACATATAGATGCCATAGTTGAAGATGAACAAAAAGAGGATACACTTGTCAACTTACCACTTCTGACACCCACTCTTAGCATATCCATAAGTTCTTGACGAAGAGTGATTTTGATACCTATCAAAATAATGTACAAATTTTTAAAAAGTCTCACTAATAATTTTAATCATAAGTGCATAAAGAGAAATGTGTTCTTGTCTTTAGTTTAACCCAAGGACAAACAAAATTTAATATTAGACTGTCACCTGACAAGGATAAGGTTGCTGTACAGGCTGGCATCCCAGAACCACTGCTGTTCATTGTTTTAAATTCCTGTGCATCTTCATCACCAGCTCCATCCCCAGTTTTCAATTTGTTGACCTCATCTAGACATGCTGTTCTGTGCTCAGCTTGCAATAAAATTTTTGTCAAAAGTAGAGAGTCAGTAGTTTTGCAACAATAGTATTAATAATAATAATAATAATAATAATAATAATAATAATAATGAATAAAAATTTTACACTAAAGAATGCCATCACAAATTAACTCATAAGGAATTAAGAAAATCTACATCCTGATAGCTTGGGATTGAATTATCCAATGGTGCATAAAGAAGAAAAATTAAAATATTAAAATCCTGGTTACTTTTTAAATTTAATTTAATAATTGAAACTCTACAGATTATGAAATAGATAAGTGCATCAGTCACTGCATTGTAAACTGCTACAAGCAGTCTGGTAAAGTCCCCTGCACAGTGTTGTAAGCCCCATGGGGAGTGGTCATCTAACCTATGATATGATATGATGACATCTATATCCAGAAATGATTTCAAATTATGTAAAAACCATTTGATTGATGTGATAAGATCATCCAAAGCTGCACCTACTTGCGAGTAATAAAACTCTTTCTGCTTCAATTTCTTCCCGGGAGCCTTTAAAGGTGATGTCATTTGCAACACACAAGTTCAGAGCCTGACTTGCCTGAAGGACAATGTTCTGTTGGTACGCTGCTTCCTCAAGGAGAACCTATAAAGACAGATTTAACTTTAATCTAAAGACTTTTTCATTACAAATTTTACTAACTCTGGGTTTATTGTCTTCCCTTCCCTTTTCTTTATTATGAGCTTTTCAGTAAAAGTTTTTGAAGAAAGCAGATACTCCTCCTGAAGGTAGATGATGTTTGAGAATGAATTGATACAGGGACAAGGAATTCTTTCTCTACTACTCTTGGGAATGAAAGGGCAAGGCGCATTAAGAGGATGTGAACATTCAAAAACTCAGTGGTGAATGCTGAACTGCGATTTTAGTGGACTTCAAACTCTTATTCAAACACACTTTAATCTCATCCTGTATTCTCTTTGGTCTCTGTGGTATTGGCTGTTTAGGCTTGTGTACTGTCTTGGTGGCATACTGTTCACTAGACTGACTGTTGTATCCAGATTGGTAGGTCCGTCTTTCCTCTCGATCAGCCCCCATGGAAGATGCTGAGGCACTTTCTTTCCTCTTTTTCTCTTCTTTCTTTTGTTCTTTCTCAAGCTAACAAAAAGGTAATAAAACAAGGTTACACAAGGTCAACACATGCAGGGGAAGACAAAGTCAAGCACTAAATACAATGTGTACATGCAAGTTCCTATAAAGGAATTAATGAACCGACGGCCAAGATTTATTTATCACAACAACTTCATGGCACAGTATGACAAGCTAAAACCTAGTACAAAAGCAAGATTACCAAATGAATGCTTATCTGAAAATGTAACTGTCAAATCCTTCAATGTACCTGTTTATACTTCTCTTCATAGCTCATTTTAAAGATACTCTCTCTCTCTTTTTCCAGCTCATCAAACTGACCAAAATCAAAGGTGAATGTCATTTCATGAATGTCAACATCGTTAAGGTTGATAGTTTCATTTGGATCAAAGTGGGACTCTTTGGTAGGTCTTCTAGGAACCTTAAATGCAAACTCCTCTTTTTTAGTAGATTTTTTTTGCTTCTTTGAAGAGCTTTGGGCCTGCTTTTCCCACACAACAGATGCAACTTCCTGTTTGGAGTCCTGGTCAGCTAGTTTTGCGGCACTTGGAGGTTTCTCTGTCTTAGATTCTTTCACTGCAGTAACTTGGGTTTTATCCCTTCTGTTTGCATTCCTTTTTCCTTCTGGGTTATCATGAGAAACTGCTTGGACAGTAACAATGCTCCTACTGCTTCCACTCTTAGCAACAGCTTTTGGGTTTTCTTCTTCAATCACACAGGCCTGGATGACACATGGTTGTTCTTCTGACCATTGCTTTCCATGATTCAGCTCCAGTCTCTCTTCACTGCCAACTGGAGTTGCAACAATAGTCACTCTGTTATCTGAGGTTGCTTTTGTTTTATTTTCTTCCACTTTCTTATCATCAGCACATTCTTCTTGTGTTTTATTGTCTGCTTCATTCAAGCTGATCACTTTTGTTCGAGGTTTTGGAGTGGGTTGATCACCATCAGATTTGTCGACGTCATCTAAATCATCAACACTTCCTCTCCTGTCTCGCTTGACTAGAACAGGGGGATAGTTTCCATTGCTTTCCTCATCAGCAGATGAACTTTGCTGACTGTTTCTTGCTTTGGCATCCTTTATCGCACCTGCACCTTTGCTGATTTTTTTCATATCACTTCTATTGTCATTCTTAAACTGGCTTTGATCCTGAAAAGTTGTAGGAGGGTCTGGAGCTTTCCGTTTGATCACAGAGTTGCTGTTATGATTTCCGCCGTTGTTTTCTTTTGTATTCTTTGGTGGGGATAAAGCTCTTCTCTTAGCTGCTTGCAGCTGTTCTTCAGAGCTTTTTTCAGAGCTGTCTTCAGTAACTGCCACTCTTGGGGGCTTAGGGGGAGGTACAAATTTGTCTTTTTCATCACTCACTTTGTTTTTTGTTGACATGCTATTCTCAAACACACTCCGTGCCTCAGCCAGTTTACCAGGGGTATGTGATGTCTGAAGCTCAAGATGTTTCTTGTCCTTGATATTCTCCTGTAAGCAAAAGACAGCCAAACATCCAATTAACATTCTAAATAATTTGCGGGAAAATCTTGCCCCCATTATTGTAGGTGAACAATGTGTTCAGTTTCACAAAATGTAAAATATTGCCTGGGTATGTTTTAAATGCCAAGTAATCAAGGATATTCATGTCATTGATTATAATTATGAATTACCTTCTGCTGATCCCTTGCAGCATTGGCTTGAAATGTTGCAGATCGTGATGCTACACTAGGGCTGCTAACATTGGAATTGTTCACTCCAGCTCCTTGAGTTACAGCTTTCCAATGTTTCTTTGGTGTTGCACCATTTTCTTGATCTTTCTGTTGCATCTTCATCAGCCTTTCTTTTCTTGCCTAATGGATAGAAAGAGTACAAAGCTACATTTAAAAGGATAATTTGTAATTGTGAAGGAAGTTCCTTCTTCTAAACACTCTTCTTGAAAGTGAAGGTTGAGTTGGTAAGAAGAAGTTCCATTTTGGTCAATCCTGGGGAAAAAGATCAAGACCCTACATGTATCACGAGACAATATGCATGCAAATAGAATACGATAATTGACATTTGACTTCAATCTTCCATAGACTGTATCATATTTCTAATTAAGTAGCAAATGACAGTTTGTAGCCTTTTCTTACATCTAGGCAGTTCAAAAAGCCACGAAACTCTGGAACAAAATTCATCTCTCAAACTGGCAGTCTCAACCAACACTTTTCATTCACTAATTTTTTGTTTTTTCTCATTACCATGTTCCCACCAATAGTGTAGCTCCATTTTCTGCATGTAAAACACACACAACCCACAATTCCTCCATTTGCTCTGGACAAAGGGTTAATGCTTAAAATGTCGAATGAAAAAATTCTTTATGGAGGCCAATTAACAATATCAACTCAGTTGATAAAACCAGTTGATGTTGATGGTAGTCACTGTGCACTTGTACAGTGTACATGTGGGTATTCCTAAGTTAGTTGAAAGAGCAATGTACCTGAACTGATGGGCTGTTAGCATCAATGTCCTTGGAATTATTCAAAATAGCACTTTTGCCACTGTCCTCACTGCCAATTCTGCGTCTTTTAATGTCATCAGTATCAACATCAGCTGAGCCGCTGTCAGTATTGTCTTCTGACAGTGGACGCCGAGGTCTATCATGAGTGGGGGAATTTCTCTTTGCTCTGCATGCCTCCAGTTCTTCACGCTTCTTAACAAGCTGGTTTTTTCTTGCCTGAGTTCTTGCTAATAATTTCTATTAAAAACAAATAAATTGTCACCAGTTAAGCATTTCTTTTTTGAAAAGTTTTCATAGATGAAAGGACAAATAAAAACAACTTAGACGTAATAATAGGCTCTTAGTCTGAACTTATTTTATACACATTTTAAAACAGATTTAAAGTTTCGCCTAAAGCGTTGTTCAGTTACTTTTAACAAATGATTTGACAGTTACATTTCCGATAAGCTTCGGTAATTTTACTTTTGTACTGGAACGACTGGAATGTACTCGTGATTTCTGGCAGATCACGGAGGGATGAAGGACGTTGGGGTAGAAACATGCAAGTAATCTGAAGCACTACAAACCAATGTTTTATCTGGAATTTTTTTTCGTTGAACAGAAGATTAGAGACTAATTCTAAGTCTAACTAAAGTACAATAGCTACGTGCTGAGATTTTCAAAACTATTGACCATCGCGGTTTTTAGGAATCTTTCTGCCGGCCAACGTTATGCATCTGTTTGCCTGTTTTGGCGAAAAATAGTCCTTCGAACCAATTTCAATCTGTTTAGGTTTCAACTAACCACCGACGAGTACATTCTTATCATTCACAGAAACAAAAAACTGAATTATGAACAAGACCTCCACTGCGTATCCTTGAATCATTTCTAACGACAAGTTTCGCTTGAGTTTCTTGATTTGCGAGTTCTCCTCAAAACACTCTGTAAAAAAACTTGAAAGCATTACCTGTGTAAATGGATCCATTTTCAGTCTGGAACTCTATACCATTGGGGCGTCGAATAACGTTGAATATTCTCCTGTGTGAAAATATCGCCTTGTTGATTTCACCTTCGAACCGTTCACTGGTAAAGTCGATTTGAAAGTAAGCGCTTGAAACAATATCCTGTCACGTGAATCATAATGTGACCCAGTCCACAACGGTTTAGAATGTTTACTTCGGGTTTTTGATTCATGCTGATTCATGGTAAGATAATTTTAAAAATGGCTCGTTACTCGTGATTCTGTCCGACACTTTACAAAATAAAAGATACAATTTGAAAATTGAAGAACTTTCCCCTCATTTTTTCTAATGCACTTTGTACAAGTCTGAGCCTTGCAAGTAGTAGAAAGACAGGCCACGTTTTGGGATTAATTTGACATCAGGGAGGGGAGGGTAAAAAGCGGAGTTTGTTCATTCTATGCCTAATCGGTACACAAAATACAAAATCAAGCTGCCTCTAACTTTTCTTTCTCGTCAGAAAAACGTGATGAAGCACACGTTCTCCAAATTTAAAGTTTTCAGTGTCCTATCATTTAGTGAGTTAAGATAAGAGTAGTTGAAAGGGAGGTTTCTCAATTGTTTGAAATCTTTGTACCAATTTTTTTTCCAAAATGAATGTTTGGCAGTTAATTGCCATTTCAGAGTGTCTTCTCATACAACTGAGGTCTGGTAAATATAAAAAAAACCCGAGAATTGTGTCCTGGTGGCAAGTAAAGTGAAAAGCCAGTCAGAAGGAAGATCACACTTCACTATGTCCCCCTTGTTAGGAGCTGGCTACAAGATAATTAATTTCCAAAATGCCTTTGCTGAGAACTGGGGCAACTTTATTCTTGTCACATAACTTCAAAATAATTTATTTTAACAGTAACAGTGGACTAAGAGTCACACCTTCAACTCACAAATTAGTTTAAAATAGTGGTTTTTAACTTGTTTCAAGAAATTACAGTTAACTGCAGATTGCTTTCAAAATTATGAATTTTGTTCCTCTGGAAAATACTTAATTAATATGTAATTTTTATTAATATATTTTTGACAGACACATATTTCTCAGGTTTACATGCCAGCATGTTCACACCTGCCAAAAGGTGTTAGGGGGAAGGTAATTGTCATAACCATTAAAGGAGCCGCCTGCTATGGCCTGAACAGCTTTCAAAAATTTAGCCTGTGTAATTCCTGTTCATCATATGTAATTCATATTAATCTTCCTCCCATTATAACATTTATTTTTCTTTTAACAATGGAGTTTAAAACAGCTTAAAATGGAATTCAATCATGAAAAGATTGTATGTTTCAACAACTCCATGTCATCATTTTGTTGGTCAGAGTACAGATAAATGTGGGTTTATCTGTGTTAAATTTAAGGTACACTTAATTGAAATACAATATAACCAGCAAAGGCTGCTTATTATGCAAGAGATCTAGAGTCAGATTGAGTGTTTAACTTCTACAAAATATTCTTTGAAAAAAATTGAAAACCATACTGAAATCTCAATTCTGACTCTTTTTCAAAGCAAATCAATTCACAGTATAAACAATGCCCTCTGCAAGCTGCATTTGATCTAAATAATAATAATAAATAATAACTTGTATTTATATAGCGCTCATATCTTAAACTCATGGCGCTTTACAACACTGTACGGGGGAATTTACCAGACTGCTAAGCAGTTCACAATCAAATGAAAGCGAATATAACAGATGCCCCCTCCCCCCTATTCCCAGTAAACAGGCCAGACCACATCACAGTAATCTCATGAAGTGTGTTCTTTAACACCCCCTGCCTAACCAAATTAACTAATTAATAGTTGTAGGAGACAGGACCTCCATTTATTCGTCCCTATCCGAGAAGACTAGAACATCTCACCATTTCTTGATCGATGTTATAGAAAGGTAGCATATTCTTCTCAATTATTTTAAGACCCTGAGTGTTGGTCCGGCCGGGGCTCGAACCCTCGACCTCCCGCACAACAGTCCGGCGCTTAACCAATTGAGCTAACCGGGAGGCGGTTAGGCGGTGACCCTGATCAATAACAACAACTTTGTCAGCTTTCTCAATAGTGCTCAGACGATGGGCCACTATCAATACCGTGTGGCCAGTCAAATTCTTGTAAATTGCATCCTGGACAAGATGCTCACTTTCTGCAAAATCAAATGTAACTTAACTTTTTATGCCTTCTATACAATATTGAACCTCATAAAATCTGACTTGCATTTATTTGAAAATGCTGACAGGATTCATTAACTCATCATACAACAAATTCATTGCCATTGCTGATGTCTACCCTGACAAAAACATTTAAAATTTTAAGGTTTTCTTCCTCTTAACAACAGATTTGAAGGTTAACTTAAAAGAAAGATTACTGAAGCTCCTTTTACAGGCTCACAAGATCACTTTCTAGACAAAGCTGAGAGGTGTGGACTAGAAGAATAAGGAGAATTGCTTCCATCACTGCTCTCCGAATCGCTCTGATCAATATGTCTGGATCCAACATGCTGTGAAGAATTTCTTCCTTCCAGCCCTAACATTTGGCGGCTCACAAGCTTTGCATAGAGTCCATTTTGTTCCACTAGCTCTTTATGCTTTCCTTGGGCAATAACTTGACCCTGATCAATAACAACAATTTTGTCAGCTTTCTCAATAGTGCTCAGACGATGGGCCACTATCATTACGGTGTGGCCAGTCAAATTCTTGTAAATTGCATCCTGGACAAGATGCTCACTTTCTGCATCTAAAGCACTAGTAGCCTCATCCAGCAGGAGGATTTGAGGATTGCGAACTAATGCTCTAGCAATAGCGACCCTTTGCTTTTGACCACCTGATAACTGCAAGCCCTTTTCACCAGTTTCTGTGTTATATCCCTGCGGCATATCACTGATAAAAGAATGTGCATTGGCAAGTTTGGACACATTTTCCACTAAACATTGATCAATCTCATCATTACCAAGACCATATGCAATGTTTTCCTTGACTGATCTAGCAAACAGTACTGGTTCCTGACCAACCAGAGCCACTTTGTTGTGCAAATATTTGTGATCAAAATTCTTCACTGGGATTGAATCAATCAAAACTTCACCAGAAGTTGGCTCATAAAAGTGCTCTAGAAGACTTATGCAGGTGCTCTTCCCACCACCACTGGGACCCACTAGAGCAATCACTTCACCTGGTTTGATGCTAAATGACACCTTATCCAAGACTGTAATATCTGGTCTTGTGGGATATGCAAAGGAAACATTTTGAAATGTAACTTCACCTGAAACTTCACCAGGAGTAACAACACCACTGTTCTGAATCTTGGGTTCTCGGTCAATGAGTTCAAATACTTTCTGAGAAGCACCAACAGCCTCCATAAGACCTGTATATATCTCACCTACTTCATCTATGTAAAAGCTAAGCTGAAGTAGATACAGTATGAAAGATACTAAATATCCACCGGTCAGATCTCCATTAATTACTAAATGGCCACCATAGAGTAGAACAATGACGTCAATGGCAAGGGAAAGAATTTCAGTCCACCATCTATATCCTCCATACAGGAAGGATTCCTTGACTTTAAGTCTATATATTCCATCTTGTTTGCTCTTGTATCGTTCATATTCACCATCTTCATTTGCAAAGCTTCGAACAGTCTTCATGGAAGATACAACTTCTGCTGCAATTTCATTTGCCTTGGCAGTTTCTTCTTGAACTTCTGTTGCCAACTTCTTATAGTAGTCTCCATAAATGTCTGAGATAAGTGCAACCAAAGGCAAGCCAACCAGGGTTACAATAGTTAACTTCCAAGAAAGTTTGAACATAAAAACACATGTACCAATGGACTGAACGCAGTTCCGCAGAAAAACGTTTATGTTTAATCCTACTTGATCTGACATCTTTGTTGTGTCTGAGCTCAAACGCGAGACAATATCTCCTGTCTTTGTACTATCAAAGAATCCAATTTCTTGTTTCACAATAGAGCCAAATAAAAAATTACTGATCCTCTTGGTAAATCTTGCCGCAATCAAGTTGAACAGCCCACCACGCAAGCCAGCTGCGATTGCTGTACCAAGTGATATGAGTGTCATTATGACAATGGCATTCAAAAACTTGGTCTTGTCCTTATCAATGGCAATAGCATCTATGACCTGTCCAGTGTAATAAGGAATGAATATTTCACCAGTTGCTGCAAGTAAGAGGAAAACAGATGCCAAAGAAATGTAAGGAAGGTCTGGTTTGCAATAAGACATCAGTCTCCAAGCAGAAATATTGTTTTTCTTCCCATTAGCGCTAGTCTCTTCCGAATCTTGAAAATCGTCCACAGTGATGAGAGCCTCTCTTTCTTGTATTGTGCCAGTTTCTTGTTCTGTAGATAAGGCCGTGATTTTGATTTTAGAGAGGAAATGCCACAGACCATTAGCAATCACCGTGGCAACTACAGTCCATCCCAGGAATAACCCCAACCAAATATTTGACGTTTTGTCCAATTCACATTCCGTGCTGACAAGGAATTTGGTTACAACGAAGACGACGACTCCAACGCTGTAATAAAGCCAAGGTTTCTTAAATGTGATAATTCTGGAAACTGCATCCATTTTGCGTTTAGCAAACAGTATTCCCAAGACGGCACCAAATAAAGTGCAACAGCGTACCAAAGACAAAATCCACAAATCAAAAACCGAGGAACAAAATTTGAATTTTTCCACTTGTGAACGTTCATTAAAACTAGACAGGTGCTTTCCATGAATAAGCAACACAACAGAAAAGAGGGTGTCCATAACTCCTCCCAAAATACAGGAAAAGAGTGGTTTGGTTAATCCATGTCCACGCGAACAATCCACCATGTTTTTTCAAGCACGGATGCAGGTAAACAGAGCTATTAAACTTGGTTTGTGGCACTTTTTCCTGGATTATGTCGCTACAAAAAAAAATCACTTCACAAATGTCTTGTTTGAGAATTAAAAACGTCGTTGATAGATAATCTAAGATGCCACGACTCTTATTCCCGGCAAAGTTCGGGTTTTCACCCGGCGAAAAGTGCAACGGGCATCACTCGTCTCTTCGCAACTTTGCCGCGAAACATTCGTAAACTTTCGGAGATGCTCGTAGAGGTCTGAGTACAAGGAGGTGTCCCCCAGTAATCGCGGTCACGTGCCACTTCCTTGCATGCTCAGACCAAGTTCGGCAGAATTTAGTGAAGATGGTTAGTTTTGGTTGCGATTTCTTGCTTTAGTTTTGGAACAAGCTCTCAAAATAAACATGCGCATTAAATTTGATTCTTTTTGTAGCCTGTGACTGCAGCAGCTTCACAGGAGGACCAAGAAAAACTCTTGGATGAGGCCATTCAAGTTGTGAAGTCTCAGTCATTTCAGATGAAACGATGTATGGTAGGTGTCGATCGTTATCGGGAATTCCACCTTTCTTTTGTTTTTTCCTCTTTCACTATTTTTGAATATACAATTGCAGGACAAGGGAAAGCTTATGGATGGCTTGAAACACGCGTCAAACATGCTAAGCGAACTGCGAACTTCGATGCTTTCACCAAAGAGTTATTACGAGTTATGTATCCTTTTAGTTCAGGGTACAAACAAGCTAAGCCTTACATGTAAACTGATCTGAGATTTCACATATTAGCATTTGGCCTTATTTTACCCGATTTCATATTTTACAAATTTCTCTCAGAATCAACTGTCTGTTATTAAAAAAAGTTTATTCAATCGTTCGCGCGAAATTTCTGATTTCATTAGGTAATAGGGCAATTTTTGCAGTTGGCATCTTGGTCTCGTACAACCTTTTGAAACCGTTTGATGTTAAAAGTCGCCTGAGAACGGGTGTCTCTCTTCCTAAATAAGTCTGTTGTAGCCGTTTATACTTGTTGGAAATTTTTTTGTTCTCATTGTCAGATGTACATGATATCGTCGTAACATTTACTGTTGATCACAGCTGTTATTTGGTAGGATATGGTAAAGCACTAGGTTATCATCAGTTTCACTTATGGGAAGTTGTCGTACTGTTCACTTGTTAGGGCACTTCTTGCAACTGTCTTCCCAGACATGGCCTGTCTTTGAAGCAACTGCAGGCGTCTGTAGGCTTCTACATTACTTTGGTCGCTCCTCCTAACAGTTTTACTGCTCATGAAACTGATCCTTAACCCTTTTGCTCCCAAGATGTCCTAAGAAATTCTCCTTACTGTCTGCCATACGATTCTTATGGTAAAAGTCTGGAGAATTTGGTATTGGATCAGCTTATAATCCCCTGATTTTCTTTTTTCCTTAATCTCATCACTTGTCTGCTTGATATTGTATTGATATTGTAAGGAGAAGTTCTGTCTTGGTCACTCATGGAGTGAAAAGGTTAAGAGTGACTTGGTGAAATCTTTAACAAATATCAAGATATGGCAATATCTGACGAGGTGCGACATCTCGAACTTTTCCTTGTTGATGAGTTCCAGAAGGGCCGCAAAGTAGCAGATCTTTATGAACTGGTTCAGTATGCTGGAAATATTGTCCCAAGATTGTAAGTATTTCAACACTACAATGATGCTATAATTATACAGTGTTTGACTAATATATCTCATGCATTTTTGTGTTTCCAGTCCAGTACTCGTTTAAGGTGGAATTTGAAAATTATGAGATTAAAATAATTATTTTTTTTCACCTTGAGGAAATTGCCAAATTTGAAGTATGTTTTAACTAGTGATGTGACAACCTAGATATGAATTTTGTAGTTAAAAACAAATTTCAGGTCAGGTTTTGTCTCCTTTGTTCCAGTTACTTTAGTGTACTAAAATCAAATAAGTTTATAACCATTTTAGGATGAAGTAATTGTAAACTATAACATGTCTTTTGTTGGATAATTTCACTAATTCACTGCAATTTATTGTCCTTAATCTTCTAAGAAAAAACTTGATAAGAACTCCATGCTACAGAAACCAATGATGTTCTCATGAGAATTTACATGTGTATTATGGGATCCATAGGTTTAAAGGCACAATACTGTATGCCTATTTAACATAATACATTTCTGATATTTTTTTTTTCAAAAAAAGGTATTTGTTGATAACTGTTGGAGCTGTTTACATCAAGGCGAATGAAGCATCTCGCAGAGATATTTTGAAAGACTTGGTTGAAATGTGTAGAGGCGTTCAGCACCCTCTGAGAGGGTTGTTTCTTCGTAATTACCTGTTACAGTCAACAAGGAACATGTTGCCAGATACTGGAGAAGAGGAACCAGTGTAAGATATAAATGTTCCTGTTAGCCCTTTTACCTCTTAGAGTGATAGACATTTATTTTCTCCCAACTGTATCACCCCTAAATCTAACATTAATGTTACGAGAATAGGCAAAATGATTGCAAACTCAAGAAGGTCTTGATTATTAGAAAAATTCTCCATGCAAGTTCCATAGGAAATATATAAAGAACACTGTGGAGAATTTGCATGCTGATGTTACACCATAACATCAGTATTCATATTCTCCATACCCTTTATTCATTTCCTTTGGTGCTGACAAGGGGGAGTGGTTTAGCAATCAATGGAATGGCTTGCCAGGATACATTGTACACGCCCAATCATTGTCCGTTTTTAAGAGTAGACTTAATATCTATTTGAATATTTATTGAATATTGATTGAATTTGTAGCCATTACATTTTATCTTTTGTATTTTTTAGTTGTTTTTATACAGGGCTAACTTCACGATTTTCCCTTTTCAGGATGTATTTTCTATTTGCATTACAACTTCCTGAATAAATGTTATGTTATGTTGTCAAAGCCTTTTTAGGTTGGCGATCATTTCCTGTATTCTTACAAACTTAATGAATGACTCAGGGGTATTATTGTAAGGAGAATTTAGATGCTGGTCACTCCAAGGGTTTAATTGACAACGATACACTTCTTTGTTAGTTACATGTGTCTCTGGGAATTTGTTGTTTAAGCTAATCAATATCTATCAGTCAGTAATGGTGTTCATTGTCAATGCCTGCGTGCTGAGAGAGTACAAAAAAATTTAAGGTAAATTTATGAACCTATCAGGCATGGAAATCATGGGTTGAAACATTTAGGGAGCAGAAATGTAGTACACAGCAGAGTACTTGCCTCTCCCACTTTTTATTGTGGCAGAGATTAGATTCCCCTTTTTTTGCGTGTGATTTGAGTTTGATTGGGTTTCTTGTCCTTGCCATCATGGTATTTCTCTGTCTCTCCATCTCCCACAAAAACAATACTCTTCATTCCAAGTTCACCTGGAAAGAAGGGATAAGGAGAAGTAATTAATGGATGTACATTGCAAATGGATTTTATGATCACGCAATTTAGTCTGGTCTGTCTATGATATTGTGGAGGGGTTTTGTCATGCTATGGGGAAATTTGGCTTTTCAATACTTGAGTTATGGTAGGAATGAAAAGTGAAACAGAGAGAAGTCAGTTCAGTCTACAGGAAGCAAGAAGAACAAATAGTTGAAGTATCACTTTGTCAAGAATTGATTTAAAAAAAACCACGAACAAGAAAAGGGGTTGGTGAAACTGACCTTTAGGTAATTAGAGTATATGTATATATTCGTAAATATAAGGATAGAATTTTTATAGAGTTTTGTCTTTTATTTGTAGAGCTGACTCTGAGCACCAAGATGGCACTGTGAAAGATTCCATATCCTTTGTGCTTCTAAACTTTGCTGAGATGAATAAACTATGGGTTCGCATACAGCACCAAGGGCATACACGAGATCGAGAAAAAAGAGAGAGAGAACGGCAAGAACTGCGCATTCTTGTGGGAACTAACCTTGTTAGACTGAGTCAACTTGATGGGGTTAATGTTGACACTTACAGGAAAGTAAGGTTAACTCATTACTACCATTTAGCCTCAGAAAAATTTCTTAAACCCAAGATCTGATTGTTAATTCTCCTGTCTAACCACCACACATTTTCTTGGTAGTTGGTTAGGAGATTTTTGTGTTAGATCAACCTCTATCTGACAAGTTTGAGTATTCCCACAACCTGTTTTCTGGATAATCTGTGGATATTATAGGGAGAAGTTACATGTCAATCCCTTGTGGGAGTTAGGGGGTCAATCTGTCATAGCTGCAGAGGGAGGAGGTAATTTCAAGCTGAATCATGAGAGCCAATGGGGGCATCAGAGCTGCAAAAATTATTTAAATTCCAGCTATCTGTCGAAACATGTTTATCTTGTTATCAAGAAATGGGAGTTTGAGAAGCACATTTTTGTGCATGAGCAATACCTTTTCCAAGGTGTTTGGAAAGAGATTAACACATTTTTGTACTAGAACAACAATTCTCCAAAGTAATTTGGATATATCAACAAAGTTGAAATGGTAAATTGGCCACCATAACAATTACAAAAGCTGATGTTTCAAGCGTTAGCCCTCCGTCGGAGCAAATAGAGGAATTGTGGGTTGTGTGTGCTTTTAAAAGCAGAAAATGGAGCTGCGTTATTGGTGGGAACATGGAAATGAGAAAAACAAGAATAAATTAGTGGAATGAAAAGCATTCGTTGATCCCTGTGGGATTTAGACTGCCGGTTTGAAAGATGAGCTTTTGTTCAAGATTTTTATGGCTTTCCATGCTACCCTAAGTGTAAGGAAAGACCGCAAATTGCCATATGTTGCTTAGAATGATTAGGTAAATTAAAATGCCCAGTGACTGGTTTTGACGTGTCCTTTTCATTCCTTTCCACGTCTCGAAGGTGTTCTCGGAATCGGTCACCTAGTCTTCTGCCTGTTTCGCCGATGTATATCTTTTTGCAATAAGTGCAAGTTATGCAATAGATTACAATTGTGGTGGTGCACGTGAACTGATCGGTGATCTTAATGGATCGTTTAGGTCCCGATATTTTATCAGTGTTGTGAATGAAAGGACACATTTTGCATCGTGCACGAGCACATTAAAAGTGCCTGGTTGGTCATTAGTCTGAAAAGAACTTCTGACCAAAAAATTGCCTATGTTTTTGTCGCGTTTGAATAAAATGAGTAGAGGCTGCGAAAAGATAGTGCTTGTCTCTGGATCATTTTGATGTAATTTAAAGTTTTTAAGAATGATGGATTTAACTGAGTGGTTGTGAGGGTGAAACGTGAGAGTGAATGGAATGCGGTCGGAATCTCTATTAATTTATTCTTGTTTTTCTCGTTGCCATGTTCCCACCAATAACGTAGCTCCATTATCTGCCTTTAAAAGCACACACACAGCCCACAATTCCTCTATTCGCTCCGACTAAGGGCTAACGCTCAAAACGTCAGCTTTTGTAACCATTATGGTGGCCAATTTACCATTTCAACTTTGTTGATTTATCCAAATTATTTTGTTACCCCCACCGATGCAGCCCCAAACAGTTTCTTTGGAAACTATCAGCCTCAACTCTCCAAAGTGTTTATGCGGACATGTGATGACACAGTGACGTAGAAAAGGAGATCATGCACAGACCATCATCTATTTTCTCACTCAGACAGAGAAGAAGTACCTCTTGCTTGCTCATACCACAGATCTCTTATATATTTATGGATTGCCATTAAGTTACTGCAATGTCATTTTTGCATAATTATATGCTCTGTAGAAATGGCTGAATTAACCTTGTAACTGTTACCCCTCTAGAATGTCCTTCCAGGAGTCTTTGAACAGATAGTGAGTTGCAGAGATCCAATTGCTCAGGAATACCTCATGGAGTGTGTGATTCAAGTTTTTCCAGATGAATTCCACCTGAGGACATTAAGCAGCTTCCTTCATGCCTGTGCAGATCTTCATGAAAGAGTGAATATCAAGAACATCATCATATCACTCATTGACAGACTTGCTTTATTTGCAAACAGAGAAGATGGTGGGATACCAAGTGATATAAGGTTGTTTGATGTGATGTCTGAACAGGTGTCTTCAGTTGTTCAGGTAAACTTGTGATAAATTAAGATAAAAATGATATTAACACAGCCTTGCCTCTACTCTGCTGCTCACTGGATGTGTTCTCAGTCGCCTTGAATTCAACTCCTTGGCTGCATTGTGTAAATGGCCAACCGGTCTGCCTCCTGCCAGTTGCAATTTTCAATCACTCAATGTTTTTTTGAAGTATTTGTTTCTCTTTCATTTTGTAAAGCATTTAGAGGCTTGCGATAAGAGCTCTTTAAATTGTGAATTTAATTTAGTTTTAAATTAGGCTATGAAGGGTTAGGTTATGCACCAAATTTTAAAAGCTCAAAAGTGGATGTGCATACTTGGTTTCTTGTCGTAAAATAGTTTTGAAATTTGGAATTAGAAATTGAGTAACAAATTTTATGCAAGTGTAGCTTGTATTTCATCCCATAACTTTTTGTTTTCAGGCACGCGGTGAGATGCCAACAGAAGACATTGTTTCTCTTCAAGTTTCCCTGATCAACCTTGCCCTGAAGTGTTACCCTGATAGAGTGGACTATGTTGACAAAGTTCTACAGTACACCTCTGAGATCTTCAGCAAACTTGATATCTCTCAGTAAGCCACAACAGCATGTTCTATTGTGTAGATATATCTTATTAACCAAGCACGAGGGCTGTACTGGGAGAATGTCAGCCTGAGGTCTTGACAGTACGGACCGAGTGCAGCGAAGTCCGTACAAAAAAAGAGCGAGGGCCGA